ATTTATTTCCAAACTAATCTTGTATTATGTTGACTTTTTTAAGGCATTTTTCATAGAAATAGATGCATCGAATTTTGTTTTAAATATGATATTATCAAAAATCAAAGAAAATGATAAATTTCATCTAATAAATTTTAATTCTAAAAAAAATTCAAAAACAAAGATCAACTACAAAATTCATAATAAATAACTTTTTACAATTATGGATTCTTTTCAAAAATGACATCATTATCTAAAAAGCACTTTCAGTCATGTCAACATCTATAGAGATGACAAGAATCTCAATTATTTCATATCAACGCAAGTGTTGAATTCTTGCCAAACTTGTTGGAATATGTTATTATTAAGATTTGATTTTAAATTCACATATTGACTAGAAAATAAGAAGGTTTATCAAACACACTTTTTAGATATTTTTATTTTGCACCAAAAGAAAGAAATGTAGCTTTTGATCAACAAAGAATGATTGTCTTAAAGCTCAAGCAACTTCATCTTTAAGCAATAAAATCAACATTGATTGTTGATTCAACCATTGTTTAAAAAAATTTAGTCAAGTATGTCCTCTAATCTTTTTGTTTATAATATTAAGAATACTTCTTCTAAATCTCATGATACTTTGAAGTTCAAGTTTAAAAAAAACTTCTTCTATTTTGAAGATTGCTTATATGGTCTAAAAAGAGAAGCACATTTATATGTTCTTTAAGCTTATCACAACTTTCCAACGGCAAGATATTTTAGATAGAAGAAGATTCTTGAACTAATATCTAAAGATTTTTTGTGGCCACAAATATGAAAGTTTATGAAAGTCATGTGACATTTGTTTTAGTTCATGTACTCCTTGTCATTGACCTTATGAACTTTTTCAACCATTACCTATCTTAAAATAACTATGGTCTTTTACTTCTATGAATTTTATTATGGATCTTTTAAGTTTAAGTTCATATGACTCTATATTTTTGATAATAGATGACTAAAATGTCACATTTTATATTATATACAAAATATATTTTAGGTAAAGAAATAACTAAGTTTTTTTAATAATATCTATTACTATCATGGATTGCTAAAGGATATTATATCAAATAGAAAGACATAATTTATATCAAGATTTTAGAAAAAAAAAAAAAAAAAAAAAAAAAAAAATGATATATTGAAGGTAGATATAAAATTTTCTTTGGCCTTTCACCTTCAAATTAATGGACAAATAAAATAGGTAAATCAATTTTTGAAGCAATATTTGAGGTATATCAATAAATATCTTTAAAATGATTGAACAACTCTTTTGCCATTGACAAAGTTTGCATATAATAATTTGGTACATTCTTTTACTTAAAAAATATTTTTTTTTTATCAATTATAGTTATCATTTATATATGAATTTTCAAAAGTTGATAATCCTATAGTAGAAGATTTGGCAAATCATTTGTCAGAGCTACATATGACAATGAAGGCCTAGATAAAAAAAAAAAAAAAAAAAAAAAAAAAAAAAAACCTCCGGAATAACAAAAGATCAATATAAATGTCAATTTCAAGGAATAATCATAATTCAGTGAAGGTGATAAGATATGATTATTTTGCCGCAATATTAAGATTATTCATTTTTGTGACAAATTGGATTATTATAGTCTTAGACTTTTTTATATTTGTGAATGAATCAATTATGTTGCTTTTCAATTATACCAATCTAAGTCAATGAAGATCCATTGAGTGTTCCATATATCTCTTCTTGAAACAGACTAGACAATAGATATATCAAGAAGATGACAAGTACTACTTCGTTTTATGAAAGTGGATTATAATGAAGAATTTGATATCAAAGAAGTCTTAGACTTAAGGTGGTATCAAAAGAGGTTAAAATATCTTATTGATTGATATAGATATGATCTTTTAGTGAATGCATATAACAGCTAGCCAAGAAATTTGTAAAAATAGCAAAGAAGATTGATACTTTTTTTCGATGATATCCATCATAATTAAAATAAAAGATAATAAATTTTTGCTATAAAAAACTATAGTTTAAGAAAGATAACATTCAATCTTTTAAATTTAATTGTAGTTTTTATATATTTGTAGCACAAAGAAAATAGAATGAATAGCCAATTGATTCAACTCAAAAGTCATTGTTTGTTTACTTACTTGATAAGACAATAGAATTATTATAGCCTTTAGGATTATGTAATTGAAATGAAGATCTTCAAGAACGACATATTCTTCTTTGAATAGATGACAAGATACAATATATTTAGTATTATAACCTTACAAGAGATTCTTGATGTTTGGTAATTTTATTGAAAGTAGAAATGATTCTTGATGGTATTATAAATATTTTATTTGAAGAAAGTTACAAATGCCTCAATAATGATCAAATAACATAGTGGACTTCTTGTCCTAGAATGTCACATTATTGATAGTTAAGAAGACCTATTAACTATCTTTAAAGAGAACAATGATCAAAATATGTGACAAATACAATTTATCATGTCTTGGACTCCATCAATATGTGATCACTGCTTCTTGTAATACTTTTTTTTAGAAAAGGATGTAATGTCACAGACATATTTACTCTAATAATTATCTATGTAATATGAGTAGAGTTAAACAAGTAAAAATAGATTAATTTGATAATATCTTTTAAAAAAAAAATCTTAAAAACTTCATAGGCATAATTTTATCTTTATACAAGTTTATAAGTAATTGGTAGGTTCAAAACTTGGCCAACAAATTAGCCATGTATTGCACGTATCAATAGCTTGTAGTACAAGCTAACAATGTGGTGCACAAATAAGAAACTTATTTTATAAGTTAAGACATGTATCTCGTAAATTTGACACATATTGGAGGTCCTATAGAATGTTGCCACATAGCTCTTAGGTAGATAGTATATATAGAGGCAAGAGTGAAGCCTTCTTTAGTCTTGTCAACTCTTTTTTTATTTTTAATTAAATTTCAAGAGTTTCTAGATTTTTAGTCTTTAGTAATAGCCATTTTGGTTTCTTCTTGAATATATATATATATATATATATATATATATATATATATATATATATATATATGCATTCTTTTTATCATTTTGTTATCTCTATTTGATACTTATTTCATTTGTTTATATATCTTCTTTTGGTTTCTTGTCCTTGATACACTTTTAAGTATAATGAAGAATTCAAAAAAATAAAAAATAAAAAAAAAAAAAAAAATGGAGTAGTTTTTTTTTCTTCCAAACCTAATATTATAAAAGCAACTAATAGATATGATACTTGTTGTGGCACTAAAAAAAATGATACATGTACAATTTGATGAAAGATTTATTAGACTTTCATAATCTATATGATAAAATCAAAGCAACATTCAAAATTTAAATATAAAAATAAAGCAATGTAGTATCAATATTAAACAAAGATAATATATTAATATATTGGATGCTACAAAATATGCATGAAAGAGAAGAACTTGAAGAATAAAGATAAACCTATGAGATGTGTGTCAAAGTAAGATAACAAAATATATATATATATATATATATATATATATATATATATATATATTCAAGGAAAAACTATAATGGCTATCGCTAAAGACCAAAAAATTATATACTCTTGATACTAGACTAGAAGCAAAAAAGAAGTTGATAAGAGTGATGAACCTTATTATTACTTATATATATATATATATATATATATTATCTAATTAAAAATTATGTTGCAACATTCTATAAGACCTCTAAAACATATCCAACTTATAATACATATATCTAACTTGCAAGATAAGTTTCTTATATACACTATATGACCAACTTGTATCACAAGTGTAATATGTGGCTAATTTGTTGGTTACTAACTTTTCAACTTAGTAATCATCTAAAAACACATATAAAATCAAATTTATATCTATTATGCTTTCAAAAAAATTCTCTCTAAGATATTATATTATTTACATACTTTTACATGTTTCTACCTAATTCCTCTTATTTAACTAATTACTAGCGATGATTATGTTTGTAACAATATGTTACAAGAGCCTATGATAAAATATCACTAGAAACTATTTCAAACTACTATAGAAAAGTAGACATCATCAAACAATAGAAAGTACCCAATGTTGGTTTATTAAAACAACTAATAGATTTTAAAGATAATATAATAGTTTATAATATATTACAAATTAAAAGATTAATAAATTTCTTATAATAGATAATAAAACCAACAAAGAGTAGAAAAATGATCTACTCAATAATATTGAAGAAGAATTAATAAATCTTAATTTGATCTAAAAAAAATGAGACAATTGAATAAGATGAAACTAATTTTTTGAAGAAAAGCATAATTTAGTAATATTAGCAACAACATGAGTTTGTAAATATTGACAAACCATTATAATGTTTTATTATATTAGAACTACAATTGAGATCTAATGAGTTGATTAAAATTGTTAAAGAAGTTGGAGTAAGTAATTTTGTCTTAAGCTTTGGAGATTTTTGACAATGCTTGATAAAATCATAAAAAGACATGCAAAGAAATAAAATCATAAGCAACTAATATTCTTTGACATGTTTGGAATGAAATAATTTAATATCATCTTATAGAATATTTTTAGTCATATATTTTATGTACTTAATCTAGATGTATACTTAGTATAGTACATATGATTTCTTGAAATCCCACTGGGCTTAAACTCATGATAAAAAAAATATAAGAGCATTTAAAGGACGTAAAAAGAAAATTTTAAGTATGTATTTAGACACTCAAACAATCAAAGATTCCTTACCATGGTTCATGAAAAGCTTTGATTGATACAAGATGCAACACAATCACAAAAATCTATTAAGTTATAGTCGTGCAAAGCAAAGAATCAGTGCAAGGGTTCAGATTTTAAAAAAGTACGCTATGCCAAAGCAAGATTGGAGTTAGTTAGGGTAAAATTAGGGTTAGCGTTTGGGTTAGGCCCGTGCGAGGGTGGGCACCTCAATCTGAAGAAGCCTCAGCTCGCGAAAAAGAGAGGCCGCGGCTATATCGGATACCACGCGAGACCTCGCAAGCTTTGCGACGGAGGCGCACGTTTCTCGAAAGCATTGCTAACGTAGCCACAATCTAGCTTCGCTTGACCCTCCATGGCCCAGTTTCAGTGTCAATGTGAGTGTTTCTGTCGATGTGTCGTCGAAAGTTTCTCAAAATCTGTTTCTTAAGCGTGGTGGAATTGTGGATGAGATTTCTGAGACTGTTTTTTTGCTCTGTTTTGGACTTCCCAGGTCCAGAGGTTAATCAATTGTGTTGGGTATTGGATATTGAGGTGTTATTATCCCTCTTCGGCTTCGAATGCATGGGACTGAGCTGCTGGTTCAGGTGATTGAATTTTGAGGTGTGGGGATGATGCTTGTGTTTGTGGAGGGTTTGGGTCATTCGGTGTTCTTATCCAAATGTGTTTCATTTGTTTCTCTTTCTAGTTTTCAACATTTTTTGTCCGAATTGTTTCAAGGAGGCTTTTGATTGTCTTTTGAGCCGACTCTGGTGGATGAAGCCAGGTTTGCCTCACTTGAGTTTGAAGTCAGTCCTTTACTACAAGTTTAGTATTCCAGCTGCTCAGTTTTTGAGGTCATGAGCATGTGAACAGGATCGACCATTGCCATCCTTGAAAAGTACAAAGTTGTGCTGAATGTGTTGCTTCTGAGTCACATTTGTTTTAAAGAGAACCAAATTGACCGGAGAAGCTGTGCTGGGATAGGAGTGCAGCGAGATACCTCAATTCCGACTTACGTTTATTGGCAAAGTGACTTCGAGATGGATGGATTGAATGATAACGTTTCTTCTTACCTTAAAAATCCGCTACCAGTCTTCTACTCAAGTTTACCTTCACATGATGAGACTGACCAAAAAGTTGAGAAATCCTTCCGTGCGGACCAAGTTGCGAAGATCCGGGCTGCGGTGGCTGAATTGCTGGTATTTGGATTCAGTGGAACTTCAATGAATCATCACGCCAGAAGACTCATTACGATGGGTGAGGGCTAGCCCTCACTTTCCAGTTACTCGAAGATTATGTTTCTGCGTTTCTTCTTGTCGGGATAAGACTAAGTCGATTGCACTCTTGGGAGGGGGGGTAGGTGCTGGAGGAGTGATTCTTTTCAATAGGAATTTCAAAGATCCTGAACAGGTCATGCTCTACACTTACAACCTGATCCACCTCAATCTTCTTGTTCGCAGAATATCCATGCAGTTTGCAGGCTTGAGGTGATGATTGATTTGCCCAATCCAGTGAATACATGTCTGAACAGTGAATTTTCAACTATAGGTTGCACGTCTTTGTGCCGATCTAAAAAGAGAAGCCGGCAATAGGCCATTGCTAATAATGGTTGATCAAGAAGGGGGTTACGTGCAGCGGTTTGGGCCCCCATTTACTGTCATCCCTCATGCAAGAATAGTTGGGGATACTTCTGATCCAGAAGCTGCTGGAGCAATAGCAAGTGTGATAGCGAAGGAGCTTAGAGCAGTAAATGTTGACATGAATTTGGCCCCAGTTTTAGATGTAGATACGAATCCTGAGAACACAGTCATTGGCAAGAGGTCCTTTGCGACAACCCCTGCTCGCGTTGCTAATTTAGGGTAAGGGCCTAAAACTTTCATTCAGTGAGGAGCCCATGTAGCCTAGGTGTGACCATGTTGCTGCTTATTGTATAATTAGTCGATAGCGTACTTTATGTGTCTGCAATTGTCTATGTTCTGAGATCTGAGAAAGTTATTTGACCTGGATGTCTACAGATTCGCCTACATAAGGGGTCTACAATGTGAAGGCGTTGCTGCCTGTGCAAAGCATTATCCAGGCCATGGGGACACGACCCTTGATAGCCATGTTGACCTTCCCCTTCTACCCCACAGCCTGACACGCTTAGTGGAGATTGAGATGTCTCCTTTTGCGAAAGCCGTGGACGCTGATGTTGCAGCAGTCATGGTGGCTCATATTGACGTGCCTTGTTTCAGTGGACGAACAGAATCAGCAAGAAAACCTGCCACCATGTGCGTGGATACAATAGCTTATTTGAGAGATGCTCTACTCTTTGAAGGAGTTATCATTTCGGATTGTATGGAGACGGGCGCCATTGTTAAGGAACACAGGATTGAAGAAGCTGCCGTACAGGCTGTTCTTGCTGGCATTGATATGGTGTTAGTATCACATACTTTGTCACGACAAATTGCAGTTGTGGATGCTTTGGTTCAAGCGGTTTTAACAGAACGTATTCCTTATCGACGGGTAATGGATGCCGTCAGTCGTATATTCACTCTAAAACAGACGTATGTGAGGTCTTCCTTTCAAGATTGGATAGAGAAGGGGTTGAGGGAATTTGAGATTCAGCAGATAGGATGCAAAGAGCATCATGATATTGTTGCCAATATTGTTTATCAGTCTGCTGCAATTAGGGGTGAGGCAACAACGATTCCAAGAAGGAAGAGGCGTTAGCAATTTTTGGTAGTTTCAGTGTACAATTTAGTGAACAGGAAACAGTATTCTGCTTGTCACAGCCAAACATAGATATGTATCGATTCTTGCATGCCAATTGCAGCAGTCTGCATGAGATCGTGAGGTTCAGATCTTCTGTAATACAATCGGGTATGTTCAACTTTCATGGCACACCCACTTCGGCTCAATGACCAATTTGTCATGTCGATTTACATTCTTCTCCTGTTTCCTTGAATTCGTAGATAATCTGAACCTGGACGTGTTCTGTGTAGCTACCGACCTTTTAAGTGCTTATGAGCTGGCGCAATAGTCTGCGAAAAGTTGTCTGTCATGACCTAGTGTACACGTTGGAGTTGCTTTTGGGAGGTGAATTGTCAGAGGCTCCTCACACAATTTTGTTTTGGAAGGGGAAGGCTGGAGCTTGATTTCGAAATGGCTCGAAGATTCGTTTAACCTAGCTTGAATCCTAGCTATTTTCATCATTGGTAGCTTTGCCGAAACCTTTAACATTTTATTACGCCTGGACACTCTAGAATGTAGTGCATGCGTCCTTGTTGACTACATGTAGGCGTGCGCGAGAAAGTAACTGCCGTCACCTCCAAAAAAATCCACCTGATCGTAATTTAATGGAATGAACATCTGAGGGCAAATCTGTGTGCGAGGAGTTAGTGAAGCACATTGATGGAGAACAAGTGGGTGGCAATGAAATCAGGCGAAACATCCGCTGTAGCAATGCAGTTCTACAATTGAGTAGATAAGCAATACCATTCCATGATTTGAACCTACCGATGCAGAGCTTGTCCCCGATCCCCAACCTAAAGCAAAATGATGCAATTCCAATTGACCAACGCACAAAATTCAGTCAAAGCACCTGGTTGCATGTGCCAATGATTATTGCGATTCAGGCCGGCAACCGGCAAGCATTCGTATCTGGACTCTTTCTGTCTTTGTTTTTACTTCTGTATATGCATCCAGATTCAGGTACTCTTCTCACTTTAGTTTCACCGCCACTTCCTAGCACCACTCTAGCGAAACGCCAGCAGGCTTACCGCATCAGGCAAGCCCCAGAGAGTGTACGCAACCAAGGCTCTACAGTAGATACCTTGGTGTTCCGATCAACATGATGCAGATAAAAGCAAGCGTTCGACAAAATGCAGGGGCGAGGTGCTATCAATGAGGCTCATGGTTGAGACAAACCATGAGACCATGTGTGGGTTTCTGAGGCTGGTGTATGGTTGGGATGGTGGAAGCAGCAGCAGCAGCAGCAGGAGGGGGACAAGGACGGAAGGCTCCACAGTTGATCAGTTAGTAGCACATGTGGTAGTTGGCATCAGATTCTTCAGATTCGCATGTACATTATCTGTCCTTGGGGTGATTTAATTTCATGTTTCATGTGTTCTCGTCAGGGACTCCCTGTTTCGATGAGAGCAATAGCAGGGCTTCAACAGTGCTTTTTCCTACACCGATCCGCCTTCCTGTTCCTTCACTGCTCCTCATGCCTTCTGCAAATTTTGTCTCTCATGCTCCTGTTTCACACCGCTCCGCTCAGTCTTCTGCTGCTGCTGCTGCTGCTGCCCACACCAAGTGCCACACCTCTTGAACACTAGTCTCTTTTTTCTTTTTCCATGTTTGTTTATTGGTCTTGTTTTCCTTAACTTTCGCGAACACTGGTAATCAACGGTGAAAAACCGAAAAAACATTACCTAGTTACAAAACATAACTGATACACGTCATATTTATAGTAACTATTCACTCTGACGTCTCACAAGGAAACAATCAACGGTGATAATCATACAGGCAACAGAGAGAACATTTCTCCTCAGCCGAGAAGGAGGTTTTGAATGCACCAATACTTGCATTTGGAGTTCGAAATTTTGAACAGTGTTTTATACTCGAGACGTCCATTATTTTTTAATCTTTTTTGCCACGAGCCACTTGGACGACTGCAAATACTACTGCATGATCATCTGAGTTTTTGTCTTACGTGTCCAGACACTTGAACAACAAATAACACATGCACGAAAACAAGGACAAGGGGGGTGGGGGGGGGGGGGTTGCACCCAAACTTGCGACTAGTAAATGCTTGTTTAGAAAAACCAAAATAACATTACCTAGTTACAAAACATAACTGACACACATCATGTTTATCTTAACTATTTACTCTGATGTCTCACAAGGAAACAATCTTCCTCAACCAATGCAATGAGATATGGTTAAAACAAGTATCCGGTCGAAGCCTTTTCCGAGGCTTAGAAACGGAGAACCTGGCAAATTTGACGGCGTCAAGCCGAGCAGAGCAGAGCAGCCAATTATGGATTTCCACACCGTGACGGTTTGTAAACCAGGCCCCGTATGGCGCTGGCACACACATACAAAGACGGAGAGAGAAGGAACTAGAAAGAGGGAAGGGAGGCTTCAGCACTTGAGTGAGGAGTAAAAGGAGTTGGTCTAGAAGTGTTGCGAGACTGGGTACAAACGCAAGCGGCGTCAGGGCCAGGCTTTGGCAGGCATCGAAGTAAAGAGAGGTGCTGGCCCTGACACACACAAGGACACCCAACACTAAGGCTAACATGCCCCCAGTTCTAGTTACCCTCACACAAAAGCAGGCAACCCATTCGTAAAACATCCCAAAAAGAAGGGAGATCACAAAAGGAAGAATGAAGGTAAAAGAAGAAGCAAAAAATAAACTAAACCCACATTATTGAAAAGAGGATGCTGCGAAGGAATTGCTGTGAGGAGTGCCATGGATGGCGTTGGGGTAGCAGATTGAGGGAGCTGCGAATGAATTGCGTGAGTTCCTCCACGTCACCGGCATTCAATGCTTGCTCCTGGCCTTCTGCAGAGCGCAGGTTTCTGAGTTTGGCCAACACATGATTGAAGGGGGCTCTGTCTTCCAGTCGAGCGGGACGGAACAGTGGATCTCATCCTGGGGTAATGAACAGGATTCTTGGTTTGTTATGATTGAGCTTGTGTGGGAGACAGTCGCTTTTTGCAGAGATTGCTACTAGAGCGGGGGAAATTTGCAAGGAGGAGCTACGAGGTTGGCGATTATGCCCACTGAGAGTGTTGGGAGAGGCAGTGGGCTGACAGAGCTGTAAGTTTGTTACTACAATTTGCAGACCAAGCTGGTACTTCAGAAAGGCAATCTTGCAGTTCAAATGTGGCAAAGTTAGTGGTGCTGCTTGACATGGAATTGGTGAAACAGATGCAGCACCGACTGTCGGAGAAGAGAAATGTGCTTTTGGAAGACCAAGACCAGCTCTAAGATGCTTGAATCAATTAACACTCAATAGATCCAGTGCACCCAGCTCTATTTGTAGTTGATTGGGTGTTTTATCTGAGAAAAGTAATATTTCCGAGCTGTACAGAAGAATGCCAAGCCCACAGGAAATAGATAACTGCTTGTCTGTTTCTGAGTCTGCAATCAGCGGAAAGTAAGGAAATGGAAGGAAGGGACAGAAGACCATGTGCGCAAGAGATTTTTTTCTTTTTTTCTTTTTTTCTTTTTTTACTAAACAGGGACCAGTAAGGTCACCAAGAAGTGCGTAGGTGCCCAGTGAGAGCCCATGAACAACTTGTGTATTAATGGACTGATTCCTTGGGGTGGAGGAAGTCCAGATGCGGACAACACTGTGAGATCAATGAGATGGTCCCAAAAACAGCTCGGCAGATTTTTTTTCCTATAGAAATATTTTTGAACTAAGCTCTCTACTAGGGACTTAGAACAGATATTATGTACAGTATCCACGCCTCCTCTTGTAGCAGCCAGGCCCCTTGTTGACTGCAGAGAAAGCCAGTTACGCAACCGAAGGCCGTCTACACCCAGGCCATCTACCTCTCCGAGGGGTCTTCTCGCTTGAACCCCGCCTCTCTCTCTCTCTCTCTCTCGTTCTCTCTCTCCCTCTCTCTCGCGCACGCGAACGCGCGGGACCGCTCTCTCTTCCTGATACACACTTCTCGCAAGGTGGAGCAAATGCGGGGAGGGCAGAAAGAAAATGACAGACAAGTAGTCTTTAACAACCGGAAAAGAGGAAGAAGAAAGTGGCAAGCAGTAGAAGGAAACATATCCAGGATAATTTCACTACAAGGTTTCTACGAAGTGCGGGGCATCAGCACGGGGCCCTGCAATGGTGCGGTAAACGTACAACTTCTCTACATACTGACCTTGCTCAAGAGGAGCTTTGTCCACATCCTTGATAATTTCGACGTTGAGCGATGAATTGTGGGATGCCAAAAATTGACAACCATCCCGGGTGAGATGGCACGACGACATCCACAACGAACGCATGGACTCGTACTTCTCGATGCCTGTCAAGAGGGCCTCGTCACCGAAAGGACAATCTCTAACCTCCAGTTTGCGCAGACTTGGGCATCCATCCAGGACATATTGCATTCCATCGTCACTGTCCCCGGCGAATGCCACGGACAGCATTTCCAGCTTCTTTGCATACTGCCCAATATACTCGAAGGTTTTGTCGGTCATCTTCCCAGAGAGGGACAAACGCCGAAGATCTACACACAACCTGCAAACTGCTCCAAATCCTTCATCCAGGGGCTGCCCGGTCTCGCAATCCTCCATGTAGCACTTCATGATACACAACCGGAAGTGGGTCATCTTTGGGCAGTTCTGGGCAAAGCTCACCATTGCAGCGTTGGTCATCTGCTTGCAGAAATACAGAATCTTTCTCAATTCGGGACACCCCTTGGAGATCGCTATGAAGCCCTGCTCAGTGACGTAACCGTCAACGCCGACAGGGTAGACTCGAAGCTCCTGCAACTCTTTGCAATTAAAAGCTGCAGCTGCTAGTCCTTTATCACCCACGAAGTCCTGAACCTGAAATATAATGAAAAAGAGATAAGGGTTAGGTTAGTATAGGAACCTTTTGGAGGTAACTTAAAAATAGAATGTCTAATATTTGAAGGCAAGATAATCGAAACTTCTATTACTGTTGACTCTCAAGTGAAGGTAAGGAACCCACCAACAGGCGCCGCACTTTGGTGCAATAACTAATAAACTTTGTGAAATCCGTGGTCATGAGAGTAACATTGGAAAGATCTAGGCTGGTCAGATTCAGACAGACTGGGTACATCGTAGGTAGGCACATTGGAATTACTTCCCAAAGCCCTGAGAGGCTCCGAAGGTTCTTACACCTCTTGAGAGAACCCTGAAGCTCGTGGAGTTTACCCCATGACAGATTTTGGTTATATATTCCTGTGCCCAGCTCTTCAAGTTGAGGAGCTCGAAGAAGAAGACTTCTCAATTGCCCCAGAGATATATCTTTGTTCACCTTCAATGTCTTCAAACATCGGCAGCGAGCCACCAAAGCTTCCAGACATTGAAAAGCTTCTTCATCAACCGCGCATTTCACAGTTGCAAAGTTGAGGCTCTCAAGAGATGTCAGAGACTCAGGAAAAGCCTTCAACCAGTCTCCATTTCGGATGTCCATATAGTTCTCTTGGAGATCCAAGACCGCGAGATTTCTGTGCACGGGAAAATAAATTAAAATAATAAAAAAAATGAGTCTTAGATCTGCGACGTGCTGTTTATTTCACTGGCTTTTAATTTCATTCTTGAATTAGAAATATATATAATCTTTAACGCTGCCACTGTAGCGTCGAGGTGCTCGGGTTCACTAATTATCGCATCACACAAGATATGATGCTCAAAGATTGATTGAACAACACCAGACGAAGTTCGGGACAACACGTAAGATACTTCACACTGTCCGGGAAAGTTTCCGAGTTGAGATGGGACCACGTAAGACTGACAGCAGAGAACAGATGATTTTACCTGCAGTTTTTTGTGATCTCTGTGATCCCGTCAGTACTGAATCCATCGCAGCTGGTGAGACGTAAAGATCGAAAATTGGGGAAAGCGACGGCGATCATTCTCAGACTCTCGTCAGAAACGGTCATACGCTTCAATTTAAGCCCTTCCAACCCAGGATAGTACTCGGCCATGACCTGGATCCATGGCTGAATGAATCCACCCCAATTTTGTGGAACCAGGCCGAAGTCGGTAAACCTCGGCCGCCCTTTCATCTCAAGGGAAACCAACTTGGGAAATCTCCTGATGAGAGTGGCCGAAGACACTGCATAGCAGTTCCCTATGAAGACTTTCCGCCTGCTCCATCCCTCAGCCTTGTACCAGGATTTGCACACTAGCGAGACAGAGTTTCTGTCCTTGTGTGAATCTAGGAAGACTAAAACATGCTCGAGAACCTCGTCTGGAAAGACCGAGGGGGGCATCACTGCCTCCACACTCTCCGAGGATTCCAGGGCTGTAAAACTTCAAAAGCAGAATGACGAATTGTTCACATTAACCAAACAACCCGTACTTGTCCCCGTCCTCCTGTTTGGATCATATTGCTATATATCTCACCGGGAACTACGAGAGCGGAAACTAGAAGCCGCAGCCTATCAACTACTCCTACAGAGATCCGCCAGGGCTACACAGATGCATTTGATGGTACCTAAACTGTAGACGAAACCCTTTCCTCGACTTCAAACTCACGTCTTCGCTGATGTAGAACCAGGTTGGCCAAGAGCTCCAAGTAGTAAGGCTGAGCACGGAAGAAAAAAAAAAAAAAAAAAAAAAAAAAAAAACACTCCTAAGTTATCTCAAAAGCTCAAAGATCAATGCACGAGGAGTCACAAACCCATTCCCTCACAATGAATCTGTCTTCGCGAGACCCACATGGGACATCTGCACCGACCTGTCCGTTAGCAGCTGGGACGCCAAGTTCAAGTATAAAACCACATGCCTCGGTATCCACTCGCCAATGGCACCAAATAATTCCAACTTCCGAAGCAATGCAGAGCACCAGCAGCGAAAAGAAGTATCCTCTGGGGTATCATCCCCTAATTCCCCTAACTAAGTAACTCTCTTGTTTTCATACCAAGCTCCGCCTCCTCAAGAACACAGTTTCCTGCAACTTCGAGTTCCACCACTCGCAACGGAGTCATACACGAGGAAGCCACCACTGTTCTCATACACTCTCCTGCCAAATTTCAGAGAACAGGCGTAAGCCAATGGCAGAGGGCTCACCTCAAGAGCAGCGACCAGACACAAAGATGCATCATCTCACAATCACAAAGTCAACCTCCATGCCCGTAAACACACCCACAAAAGAAATTCAAGAAGACCACCATAACCCTGCCATAACATTCCCCAACACAAACAAAAACAAAAACCACAACATCAACAAACCACGGCAGATGAAGCCAAACGTCAACCTCGACGCCAGGGCAGTATGACCCGACACCCTCTTACACACCGCCATATCAACCAACCAACCAACCAACCCACAGCCACGCTCTCAAACCAAGCCCCAACTCCGCCGCGTCCAAAAGCAAACCCCACCGAATTGACAGCCTGCCAACCACACACGCCTCCAGCTCAAACAGCTGGTGAACCCCATCTCGGGACAATGACAGTCCCAACAAAGACAGCCCTAAGTAAAGCCAAGAACAACAACCTCTCCCCTCCACAAGCTCCTTTCCTCTGGGTTGCGAGGCACAAAACCTCGGATTCACCCCAAACTGCTACATCCCCACTCTCGCTTCCTCTCTCTCACACACACTCTCTCTCTCTCTCTCTCTCTCTCTCTCTCTCTCCCACACACGCATGTGACCCCAAAACTGGATAGAGAAAATACAGGTCTGTAGAAGAGACGACGAAGACACGACTAGACGGCGAAAGCGGGTTAACGACCAGCTTACTTACTCACAACGGTTACCGATGATGAACGCGTGAACCGAATTAACAGAAGAAGGGGAAAAGGGGCGCAAAACAGGAAATGGCATGGTCAGATCTGTTAGAAAACCGAAGCTCAGAGTGAGAAGGCAAAGACTGAACAAGGAGCCACACACGGGACGAGAAGAAGCCAAGCGACGAGACGGGAAGGCGATGGCGATGGCGATGGCGAGGCATAGCCCAAGCGAAGCGAAGAGCAAGAGCAGCAGTAGCAGCTCCGCTAGGAGACGATCCGGATTCTTTCACGCCCTGCAAAGATGGCCCACCCCCCGCGGAAAGATCCTGGGTCGCCCTGCCCTCGCGGGCCCTCCCCCCCACCCCAGCGACCCGGCCTCCGCGGGACCCTCACGGCTTAGGGTGACCGTGGTTAGAGAGCTTTGTTGCTGTGCTGCAACGCGGGTCAAGCGTGGGTCAAAATCACTGTCCGCGGGTATGGGTGGCTGGGTGGGGTGGGTAGGTAGGTGGGTGGGTGGTACCTTGGCGGGGCTTCATTGCACACGTGAAAGGGCCAGAGGCCGAGCGTCGTTACTTTTGCTGGGTTGGTGATAGGGGATGATTCCCCCATCACCGCCTATATGGATGAATAATGGACAATGAATGACTCTTCCGTTGCCCTCTCCGATCGTATCCCCTTTCATCCATTCGTTAATCCGCCTCAAAGAGTGCATCTCGTTTCAACCACAAATTAGTGGATGTGTCTCTTTGGATGAATGACTTATTCCACGTTGGCCTTTAGTAATCTACGAGTTAAGGGGTTTTTAATTACGTAGTGAGGTTGTTAGTAAAAAAAATTAATTAGAAACTTTTTTTTTTTTTTTAAGTTTGGTATTTTGAAATAATACTTTTGAATTTCACAAGATTTTTTTTCATACAATTAGTTGATTGATAGTTATTGGAGAAGATGATGTTCATGAGATAATGTTGCGTATTTCTTAGTTGATAATGAAAACAAAATTTTGATGCACTCTATGCAACTTTGATGCTAATGTCACACAAAATCCAAAACATGTTGAATTATCTTTAAATTTAAAGTCTTTCACATATTTATTTCTCTCCCTACCTGTTCATATATATATATATATATGCACACACATGTGCATATATTTCTGTGTGTACAAAAGACAGAAAGAATGATCATTGTTTTGAATACTGCATTATATCACAAAAAGTATTGTTTTTCAGATACTTTTAAGCTCAACAACAGTGAAGTTAAAGTTACGAAGAGTTTTCACTGTTGCTTGTGTCTAGTGATACAATGGATTTATTTTTTTTATTTTTCTATAGAAAGGAATATTTAAAATACATGTTTTATCATGAAGAAAAAATAGTATAAAGTTTATAAAATAGTTTTATAATTTTATAAGAGATTGTACAATTAAAGTGACGTGTCCAAATATAGACATCGAAAGGTGTATTTAGTTTTTTCTACATCCACTTTTAACTAGTTGAGTTTAAGATTTAGTGTAATGTAGTAATTATTTCTTTACGGAATTAAATAAAATCTTAAAAATTATGTCATTAAAATCAACTAGATTTCAGTTTTCGAATTCTTTAAATGTTAATCTAAAACAATTTTGTTTTTTTCTGACGATTTATATATATATATATATATATATATCTAATTTTTTAAATTGATAATTTTGCGACTACAATTTTTTTGCATTTTTTTTTCATTTTAAATTTGTGAATGGGGTATTCGTCTTATTCAATTTATAATCAATCCCATCACTTTCATAATATGAGTAGTAAAATAGGATTTTGTGGCACAAGTTACTCTTCTAATCAAGCACCTAATCCTTTAAAGTTGAGAAAACTTACATTGCAGAGGTCTTTGGCCAAGTTAAAAGCTCTATTAAGGTTTAACCAAAACCTCTCCAACCAACACCTCTACAATTCAATTATAAGAACCAAATTTAGTTTAAATGTGTATGGTTTTTATAAACAATATGTACCCAATAGAATTCTTTATGCTTTGGACATAAGTGGATATAACTTTCACAAGTTGCATTTGGTTGAGAAGAAAAGAAAGGAAAAATAACTCATTTGAATGGTTTTATTTTTTTAATCAAATAAAACGTTACAAGAGAGAAGGAAAAAAATAATAAATAAAACAAATAAAACAAAATGTGATTTTTCCAAAACAAAATAAAATAGTGTTGTTCGCCAGATTTTGTGGGAAGTCCACCTTAATTAGGCAGTTGCTATGAAACACTAAGAAATTATGTCAACTTGTTCTAAAAATGCACAATTAAATATTATAATAATGTATTTTTGTTATTGAATATATTTTATAGGATCCAGATAAGAGCTAGAAAATTAAAGTGCCATATTAGTAACAAAAATATTTGGTTTATTATCATGACTGTGTCTTACTTCATATATATATATATATATATAATTGGTAACAAGCAAATACAGTAAAATCCAAATAAAATATTCCATTGATGGAAAACTTAAACAACACTACTGTGCATTTTATCAATTGAAAGCAAACAAGCAAGTTTACTACTGACCAAATTTAAAACCCACATACTAATTTATTTGAGAGACGAAATTACAAATATTATTATCAGCAATAAAAAAATAAAAATAAAAATAAAAATCCAATCCTGATACCTGTATGAATAAATTTGTTTCCAAAGGATTGAATAATGAATGGTTTATTTATTATTCCCTTCATACATTTTAACCTGAAATTTATGTGTTATATTAAACTACGTTCATATAAGACACAACTTAAGAATATATGATATAAATTGAAATATCCAAAATTAACAATATTTTCCATCACAAATTAAAATATATATCAACACATACGTACAAATAGAAATATATACCAATATCAAAAAGGAAAAGAGTATATGATATATGTTAAAAAAAATCATTTAAGTTTGAATGATGAAAGCTATTATTAGTGTGTTTGAACTAAGTTGATGTTGCCATATTCTAACGATATATTTGTATGACTTGAGAAATCCACAAATATATATTAGATTAATTTCATTTTGAGTTTTCTAAAGTAGGTATCATCTTTTAAAATATATAAAAATATATAATATAAAATATACAGGTGTAATTATTTATTATAGTTTATATTAGAATTTTACTTTGACATGTATTTATTAAAGTAAAATAATCAAATTTTATATATTCATATACTAATTTTAAAACTACTGCATATATATATATATATATATATATATAGGTACAAATTTGTAGTTCTGGTCATAGAATGATTCTAAAAGGATCACATTATTAATACAAAAACTCTTATAACCACCACAATCTTGACTTCTGCTGCAAATCTATTTTGTTGAATCATCAAGAGAACCAATTAACTATACAAATTTATACAAGAATTTTATTATTATTATAATAATAAACCTATATTATTTTCTAAAGTATATGAAAATGTATATATCTATATATATATATATATATATATATATATATAGATATATTGTTCTACTATCCAAGATTTATTTTTCATGTACACACACATAACATAATTTTTGTGTTACAAATTCTACATTACTTGTAGAATATTTCTTTATTTTTAAAATAAAATATCATAATATAATTTTAATGAAAAAATATTCGATTTTTAATAGATGAATTTTTAATGAATTAATTTCATTTAGATGTAATTATTTCTGTGAAACATTAATAATTGTATAAATGCTTTTGATTATTAAATTTTACTCAACTATAAATACATATAGTATTTTTTAGTATTTGAAATGGTTGATTTTTGTGTCCTTCAATTTTATTTATTATTCATTGTTATTGTATGTTTTGAAAACTAATTATACTTCTGGATTGATTTTTTCTAAACGCAATTAAAATAAACGTATTCTCATGCGCCATATATCGTGTAATATGATAGTTACAATAAACAATAAACAATAAAGTTATGTGACCCTTGCGAAGCTGACTTGATTGTAAAAATGGCTTTATGTCTCTTTAGAGTTTACTTGAAAGGAATTCTTTTGTGTCACATTAAGATAGAGTTGGATAATTGTGTGGAAGTGACTTATTATATTTATTTCAATAAATCCTTTAAAATCAAACGAAAATTGGATTAATTTTTAAATTAAAAAGCCATAATCAATAAGAAGACCTGTGTATGTTTACATTTACAAGAAGAAGGTTATCAAACTATTTATACACAAAAACTGGAAAACGATAAAAAAAAAAAAAAACAAAAAACAAAAAACAAAACAAAACAAAACAAAACAAACAAACAAACAATAAATAAATAAATATGAATGAGATTAATTACATTTCACATATATATTTTACCTTGTTGCATGTATTCTCTATTGAAAAAAACTATTCTAATCGTTCACAGCATTTCCTCACCAGAAGTATTACAATTGCTTTAAATTTACTCATACAATAAAATAAAATAAAATAAAGGAATCGGGAAAAAGTAAAAAGATGAACCACCAAGCAATGCTTCTGTTTATTGGGATGAATCCCACTTCCATGTCATTGCGGTGACGTGGCAGCATGGGTCCACATCACCATCCCACATGCGGCCATCTTCAAGCCCATGCCACGTAAGCGCCACATAGACACATGCCATTGAAAATCCTTTTGAAACTTTCTTATTATAACTTCGTCCTCTTGTGCATAAACAAACACAAACAATTGAATCTTTCACATTATTAACCAATCTTGAATCCAAAGTTGTAAAGAAAAATAAAGAAAAATAATTAATTATCCACAGACTTGGTTCATGTTTTATGAACAACATCCAAACGATGTCAAAAAACACAAACATTAAAATTGTTAGTTGGATCTCTCTCTCTCTCTCTCTCACACACACACACACGCCCACAAACATGGTGTTGAAAAGCGAACTTTTCAGTATTATAGATAATGGTACCCAAGACCGAAGACAACCCTAAACGCCCAAGTGGCCCCCTATGCCCACGGCCCCCATGTTGATATACTATTCTTGCATAGTGTAGGGGAATATATGGGAAAGAGGGAATTTTCCGTTATTGCATAATATCTGAGCAATCCACCGGCCACCCTCTACGAAGAGGAGGGAATCTTGTGGCACTAGAATATTCCTTCCTCTGCCTCTACACTATTCAATCAA